GATCTAGACTGGGCTGGGATGTTTTCTCAATATTCAAATGCTCTTTGACATAAAGCTCTTTCTTAGACACATGAGTGTCCCTGGATTTGTTTCTCTAGTCAACCCAGTCTAACACAGTAACCAGCACAGGAACCCTGCTGGCACAGTGCTTGGGTGTTGTGCTGCCAACTGCAAGGTCAGCCCTTTGAAACTACCAAGTCTCTCCAAGGGAGAAAGGTGAGGCTGTCTACTCCCATAGAACTACAGTCTCAGAAAGGCACAGGGAGATTCTGCCTGGCCCTATAAGGTCACTGTGAGGCGGAATCACTTCATGGTAGTGGGAATTTAAGGTTTTTAGTGTTTGGACCAACACAAGCTTTTCCCATCTTTCTTGGAGCAAAAGCAAAAGTGGGCAGTAAGAACTTGAGACATGGCGGGTTCCTGGCTGCACTCCAGATGTGGATGTGACGTTGATGACGTCTTCAGTGACCAGCATACCAGCCGCCATGTGTTAAGAGCTCACTGGGGACCAGATGGTGGCGTTAGTTAGCCTTTGATTCACAATCTGCCCCCTGCCCATGGGTGATTCTGAGAATAGAAACCCAGAGCCCCTGCCAGTCCAATGGTAAATGTTTCCGAATATAACCGCAATGGCCCTGCCACTAGGAAAACCCTCCACGCCTCCTCCACATGATCGTGCATAGAGGAAGTGCTTGGATTTCTCCAAGGATCACATCTCCCAGCTGCTTCTTCACTCTAATAAAATCTAAATAAGGTGCACCCGTCAGACTGCTAGCTGTGCTGCACAAGACGCCTCTAATCCACTGCTTCTCCACCCATCGCTGACATCTCCCTTGTCATTCACTTGTTGGCTGTGGCCACACACCATCCCCCTCAGCCTGGGCTTGGCTGCCATGGGGTCATTCTGCCTGCTGCTCGCCCCTCTGTGTCCCTGTGAGTCAGTGTGGTTCACGGACAGAAGCTCGGGCGGGGTCTGGTTTGCTTTTTAGTGAGGGTGCTTCCTGCTTCTATCAGGTACTTCCATTAGAAGATACAGCTATCGCACTGCCATTGATTCTGACACAGGTCCCCTAGGACAGGTGGAGACCTGATCCTGTGGGCTTCCAGGACTGTAAGTCTTTATGGGAATAGGAAGCCTCACCTTTCTCCCTCGGAGTAGCTGGTGATTTAGAAAGGCTGACCTTTTGGCTAGCAACCCCACTCAGAGCCCCGATGCCACCTGAGCTCCCAGAAGACACAGAGTGAGTAGCTGTTACTCCTTCTGTGATGTGCTCAGGTAACTGAGAGCCCTGCTCTTCCCCTGACATCATGGCTGGCTCTAGCCACACAGCAACACTGCCCACGCCTGCGCCATCCCCGCGATGGTCCCAGACTGGACCACTGTGGCCCACGGGGCTTACAATGGGGCTGATATGCATGGGAGGATCTCCAGGCCTTTCTTCCTCATCACATCATTAGTACACTGTAACACGGCAGTCTTCCAATCCTGCGCTGTGCCCTGAAATACGCCTATGACGGGCATCCTGTCCTCATCCAGGATCTGCTTGCCCCCGGAATGGTTTGCTTGGGAAAGGGAGAGTCATTGCTTGATTCCTGGCCTTTACTTACCAACTCAGAGCAAAAGGTGGATTGCCTGCAATCCTACAAAGCTGACTAGAGAGTTGGTGTTTTTCCCAAGTATCCTTGTAAATCCATGGATTTCAACATGTTTTGTTTCATTGATGCACCTCACCACCCCCCAGTGTCTGACGACTAGCCAAAGAGCCCAGGGGCACTGTGAGTGAGGGGCTGTGCTGCTAGCCCCAGTAAGGGCAGCAGTTCACAGCCACCAGCAACTCCTTGGGAGAAAGCTGAGGATATCTGCTCCCGTAAATCCTTCCATTCCTGGAAATCCCATAGAGGGCTGCCAGTGAGTCAGAATCCACTCAATGGATTGTTTGGCTTGTTTTGTACTGACTGAAGGTTGAGAGTTCAGATCTGGCCAGAGGCACCGCAGAATAAAGAGCTGGCCCCTGCTTCCTAACTTGCCAGCCACGAGATGTCCTGTGGGTGCAGTCCTGCCCCGAACCACATGCACGGAGCTTCCATGCTGGAGTGGCCACCACAGCAACTGGGGGGAGGGGGGGGTGCGCGGGCAAGGGGGGGATTTTGTTTTTTCAAAACTGTTTTATTTTGAAATGATTCTAAATTTATAGGAAACGTTTAAAGCTAGCATAGCATGTTCATCAATTCTCTCAACTTCTCCTAAAGCTAACATCTTAACTACCACTGAAACAATGAACCTAAGTGCCAGACTTCCTCCAGGTGCAGCCAGGTGTCTCACTAGGACCCCTTTTCTGTGCCAGGACCTAAGTCAGGACCCCTTGTTACAATTGGTCACCATATGGCTTAGGCTGGGTTCAACAGAGAAGCAAAAACATCTACATATGTGCAAATGTGTGCATATGTATGTGTTTATATCACCTGCAGATATACCTATATATATGCATGCATCTATGCACCTATATGTACATAGATACATGAAGGGGTTTCAAAAAGCAATGGAAAAAAGCCATGGAATTTCTCCAAGAACTTTTTGAAGCCTCCTGGTATATGTGTTTGCATACACACATGCTCTCGTTAGAGAGAGTTCAAGGAAATGACTTGAGCACTTGTGGAGCCTGGTAAGTCTCAGATCCCTGGGTCAGGTGTTGGGCTGGAGGCTTCTCCTGACTCACACAGTTGCAGGGGCTGATGAGCCCAAACTCTGCAGCTCAGGCAGCAGGCTGCTGGCTCGGGTCCCATGAGCTGGTGCTCAGGAGATGATGAGCTGGATGCAGGATCCAAGGAGGGAGAGCTTAGCCAAAACATGCACATAGACTGGCTGTAGGGCACACCCCTGGGGCAACTCACTTTGTATCTGACCACACAGTGGGGGAGGAAAATTACACAGGGCTGAGAATCCCTGTCTTTCACAACCCGGTCTTGTGAGAAGGGAGAATGAACCTCCTGTGGGTGCCAGATGTTTTCTCATGGTGGCCTGCAGGGGAGGGTGGCTGTGACGTCTGGCGTGGAGATGAAGTGCCCTACTCTTCACGTGATGCTGGGTCCACAAAAGGAGCTTCATTCCTGAGGATGTTCACCTGGACCACCTGACTAAGGTGAGGGTCTTCCGCTGTTTTTCCCTTAGTGGTCAATAAATGCTTGGGGAGAGAGAGACTTTGAGGCTATGCAAATATTCTGTTTCTCTTTCTAAGCTGGCCTGCTTTCCTTAGCTTTCACTCCTGGGTCGTGAATGCGCAATGATGGTACCCTAATGGTGATTTTTCAGTCCCCATATCCTTTCCACATTTGTCCATCAGGGTTCTTCCTGGGGAAGAGTTGTCCTTTCTTCACACTGGTGTGGACTCTTGGGTATTTATTTCATTTCATGGGTTATGATCTAATTTTGTTGTGTGGTATCTCGGGTCAATTCTGACTCATGGTGGCCCTACACAACACAGCAGAAATGAACTGCCCAAGGGTTTCCTGGGCGAGCATCTTTGTGGAAGCAGAAAGGCCTTCTCCCAGGGGGTTTCTAGGGAGGGTCAAACCACTGGCCTTTGGGGTTGGCAGCTGAGGGCTTAACCCCTGCACCATCCTAATCTAATGCTGTCAGTCTTTACTGTCTTGTTTGTTACTCTGGCTCTAGCCAATGGGAGTTCTCTTGGGTTGTATCTTGTATTCCTATGACGTGTGTGTGTGTGGTGGTGGTGGTGGTGGGGATCTGTTAGCACATTTTAGTACCAAAAGATACCCCAGGCTAACCTTGTATGTTCTTCTGGAATTCCGTTGATTAGTGTCCTGCAACCAGCCACCTTTCAAAGTTCCTTTTATTGGATGATGTTATTAGAAACCAAGATCGGGGTTCTCAATGTGCTCGTTGGCAACCCACCCACTACCAGTGAGTCAACTCTGACTCATCTCAACCCTCATGGACAGAGTCCACGTGATCCCTAAGGGTTTCAGAGGCTGCAGCTTTAGGGGAGCAGGCGTTCTCCTGTGGATCATCTAGTGGGTTTCAGCCCCAGCCTGCTTGTTGGAAGCCCAATATGCAATCTGCTTCTTCCTCATCACAAACGGCGAGGGGAGCACATGTGTGTATGCTAATCCCTCTATGGGTTACAAATCTCAGCAACTCAGTATACACATATGCCTATCATTATTTCTGTACCTATCTGTCTCTAGGTGCCTATGAGGGGAGGGGGCTTTAAAAAATGCATGGAAAATTAGAGTTAAAAACAGTGAAATTTTCCATGCACTTTTCCAAGACCCTTGATATAGATGACAAAATGAGTCCACACACACGCACGCACACACACTTCATTCCAGCACTCCCTCTTTCCTTATTTGTAAACTCTCTCTAACAATGAGAAACCTGGCTCCCATTATGCACACTGTAGGTACTGATGAGCTCAGTCCCAGTGCACACAGGAAGCAGCTTCAGCATTCTTAACCTACAGGCACCTTACTGCCATCGCGGTGCTTATGCACAGTCCTCTTTGTCGTTCGCCTGAGAGCCCTGGGTGGAAGCACTAGTTCCCAAAATGACTCAGTCAGCCCCTTTCTCCTTGGCCCCTTCAGTGGGACTGCCGTTCATGGAAACATGGGTGAGCCATTTGGCACGCATGTTCCCCTTTCATCTACTGTTCCGCGTTTTTAACTACGAACAGCATGCCCACTGTCTTCACCTCACGTGTTCCACTGCACAGTACTCCCCGGAGCCCACCCCCAAGGATGACGTAGGGCTTATCCTTTTCTCCCTTTCTCAGCTGTGTGATTGTCCACTGTGCATGCACCAACATGTAAAACTCCGGTCTCCTGTGGGCGGGCATCGGGTGGCTGCCAGCCCTGGCCGGGCACACTTTCTTATGATCCAGTACAACATCAGGAACACTCCCTGGGGGTTGTTTGGCTGAAGAAATGCTGTTGTTGTTTTGCTGCTGTTGTTCATTAGCTTCTGTGGAGCCAGTTACAAGGCAGAGCAACCCGATGGGCAACAGATGGCAACACTGCCTGCTCCTGCAGCACCCTTACAATGTTGCGATCGTTTGAGCCCATTGCTGCGGCCATGACGTCAACCGATATTGTTAAGGATCTTCCTCTTTTATGGATGACCCTCTGCTTGACTAAGCCCAATATCCCTTTCCCGGGGCTGTCTCTCTCCTGATAACATGCCCAAAGTACACGTGATGAAGTCTCACCATGCCTGCTTCTAAGGAACACTCTTGGCTGTACCTCTTCCGAGACAGACTTGTTTGCTGGCAGCCCATGGTACTGTCAATCTGCTTACCCAACTTGTAATCCAGATGCATCAGACCTTCTTGGGTCGTCCTCAGTCACTGTCCAGTTTTCACAGGCATATGAGGAGGACTGAACTACCATGGCTGGGGGCAGGTGCACCTTAGTCCTCGGGTGACATCTGTGGTCTTTAACACTTTCACGGGGTCTCGTGAGGCAGATTTGCCCAATGCCATGCATGGTCTGATTTCCTGATGGCTGCTTCTATGATTGTGGATTATGGATCTAAGTACAATGGAGTCTTGGATCACTCTCTTGCTAGATGGGAATGAGCTCCCTCCTCTCCATGGGGCTGGTACCTTCTGCAGTCCCTCCAGCAGTGTATGAGAGCTTATCTCCCCCTACTGCCTCCCCTACCCCTTTAAGATTTGTCAACAGAGACCACTCCAACTTTTGGATCCTTGCCAACCAATGGGTGTGCGAGCCCATCTCTGTCTAGTTTTAATTCGAGTTGCTTTTACTATGTGTGAGGCTGACCGTGTTTCCATCTGCACGGATTCACAGTGATTTGCCCGTACGGTGCCATGAACCTTTCTTATTTCCTGCCTGTCTTTCTGGTGGTTGCTGACCTTTATGTCACTCCTTAAGAGCCTTTCATTCTGTAAGAGCACTCAGCCTTTGCCTTCGACTGCCGACATTGTCATCTGCCTCTGGACCTTGCATAAGTGGTTTCTAATTGTTCACAGTCCATTTTTTAAAAATATTTCCCCTTAATGAACCTGGATTTTTAATTACCATTTGGAAAAAATGTCCATAGTCTTAACTTGTGGATGAGCGCCCTCTTCTTTACTCGAGGATAAGCATGGTAGCGCTGTTTGCATCGAGATCTCTGGCTCTGGATATTTTGCCTCATGTAGATTACGAAACAGAGCAAACTGTCTTTTCTTAGGTTATCTCACTATTTTAGGCCACTTGATTGAGTCTTTTTGGTGAGAGTGGACCATAAGTCACAAAACCAGGCGAGAGCTGTCGCAGTCAAGTCAGTCCCAGCTCACAGTGCCCAACTTACAAGGTCCTCTTCATCCTGCCCTACACGGCAGATGAGACTGGGTCAACTCGACGTTGAACTGCGTGTTTGCCTGCCAACACCACACGGCTTTGGGGACGGAGGTCTCATCACAGGCTTGAATCCTCGGGAGGGCTGTCCTCCCACTGCCATCCTCCCCTGGTTTTCCTAGTGACTCCCCGAGCTCGTTCTCCCAGGCGAATGTTTCGAGCCCAGACCGAAGGCCCGCTTTAAAGCATTACCTCCCACGTGGGGTCCCCTTCGTTCTCCACCAGCTTCAGCGCGTGTTTGTTCTTCAGGTGCCTGTTGAACTCCCACTTGGTCCCATACACAAAGCTGCAGACGGGACATTTCAAACCACCTGGGGACAAGAGGCAGAAAATGTGTTCAAGCCACACGCGAGCCCAGGGTTTCCTCCTCCGTCCAGACCCACTGGTACCGACCACACAGAAACCCAAGGTCGTTTCCTCCGCCAACCTGAGGCACGCTTCCCACACAGGAACCCACAGCCCTCATGCAGCTGCTCCACACGGGAACCCAGGGTTTCCTCTGCCCAGACCCACCAGACCAACCACACATGCTCCTCCAGGAGACCCACTCGGACCCCAGAGAAACCCAACCCTCCTTCACACAGGTGCCCCAAAACCCTGAGATGCGTTCTTTGGTCTCCAACACTTGGGGTCAACTCAAACTTGCTGGGCGACTGGCACCTTGTGCCAACCTAGCTGGGCCACGCTTCTCAGTGGCTTAGCAGAAAGGCCTAGTAGCCCCCCCATGATGTGACCTAACAGAGTACAATGGTGCCTCAGTGGGATCAGCTGAGAGCAGCCGTGCAGCTCTTCTGAGATTTGGGCAGAAGAAACCCCCTCCCTCAAGTCACAGCTCCACGGCCGTTTCCCTGGGGTGTGACCTATTCACCTATAAGTGACCATGTGGTGGGCTGGGTTGCTTCTTGCTGGTCTGAATCCTGCACAGACCCTGGTTCTTATGAATATGAACCAATGGCCCACAAACCGCCGGCCAATGCTGGGCGTGCTCAGCAGCCTGCCATCTGACCTGCCAACCTTAGCTTCATTGGCTTCTGCAGCCACAAGCTCAAACTGCTGACTTTGGATCCATTCATTCGTCCCTGGACCCGCCAGCCTGTGGTGTTCCTGCCTCATCTTCCTGCCTCCTGGTTGGCTTCCTGCCTCCTGGTTCACCAGCTCTTGAAGCTACGGGAATCAGGACAAGCCCCCAGCTTAACACACCTTACCCATGGACTTGAACCGGAATGAACTCACCCACTTCCACATTGTGTGAAACATATTCTTGTTGTAAATTTCTCTTTCTGTATAGATCACTGGTTTCGCTTCTCTAGAGTACTGGCACTAAGACGTACCTTAGCATCTCAACAGAGTAACAACAGCATGTGTGCTGCACTACAGGGTTGGTTTTGTGGTTTCTTTATTGCTAAGCATTTGGATAGACTTTAATATGTGCTTGATATTTTAAGTGCCAGAGAGATTTAAGATGAGAAAGCCAATTCCCTTGGCCAGGTGGATAAATGCCTTGAATATTTCTTTCATTGTTCCCGTTGTTAAGTAACAAATATTTGGGGGGAAGCACCAAGAATTGAAGCATCAGCAACAATGGTTGCTGTTCACAATCTCCTTGGTCCCCAAGCACTTCAGGCTGAGCCCCGGAATCTCAGACTCCGTCACAATAGATACTAACACAGTGGCCCACAGATCCGCCCCCGCCCATGGGTTTCCCAGCAAACAACAACATAAGCAGCAGCTCACATCCTGAAATGCCATTAGTTATTGAAGGGATTCCATTTGCACATGTTCTCGGAAGTGGTCAGAGGCTTTAATAAAAAAAAATGTAAAACTCCAGGTTAAAATAATAAAATTTAAAATGGGAGATCCACTCAAAGGCTGTCTTTCTAAAATATACCAAATCAGGACCGGAGAAAAGCCACTTTGAGCCGATGTGTCTTTCGGAGCAAACCTCTGCTTCAGGAGGCCCAGGTTGATCCTAGAGACCAGGTGACCTGCGCCCGGGTCAGGAGGGCCTTCGCCAGCACCCCTGTCGCTGTGCTTGTCTGGACGTTACAGGTCTGCAGAGTGACAGGCCCCCCTCCTCCCTGCACGCTCCCAGAGGCATGCTCTCTGCCCCTGACTCAGCTTTGCACTTTCTCTTCCACAACACGGAGCCATCGTCACTCTCCGCACCGGGCCCCAGAACCCACAGGCAGCATGCCTTCCACCGGCTTCACCGCAGAGGGTCCACACCGCCCCATCCTCGCCCTTGGCGAAGCTCAGGACAGTCCCTCCTTCACCCACCCACCAGGAGGCTGCTTCCCCCAGCCAGGCCCGGGTCAGGGGCAGGCCAGGCCACTCCCACCACCACTTCCATGGTGGGGCCAGAGTAGGTCCTAGCCCCTCTTCCCCACTCCCAGGGCTCCAGCCCAGGGCTCCTCCACCTGAAGTCCATGCCGTGGCTGCTGCTATCTGCTGGTGAGCCAGCCCCCACGCAAGGCAACCTTCCTGGTCCTGAGCCACTGTTCCCATCCTTGGCAAGTACCCTGACTGTAGTGAAAGGTACCTGGGCCACAACCTCCCAGGTCCTGGCCCCCTTGTGCCCAGACCAGGCATGAAGCTGTGCATCTTGGTGGAACCCGATGACCCGGGCAAGACTGCTTTTTCTGGATGGAGGCTCCGCATGGGACAGAGGGGATGACGGACAGCTGGGGTGCAGGACCAAAGCCCTGCTCTGGTCTAGGCCAAACTGTGTGCATTTGATGGCAACACTGACCACATCTCCCAGCACAACCTAGTCTTCCTGATGGGCAGACAACTCCAGAAACCAGGAAGCCAGGCGGGCTTGTGTTTGCTTCCTCACCGCAGTGAGCGAGCGGACGTGGCGGTGAATGGATGCCTTCGCTGCACATGGGCCCCGCCACGTGCAAGAAGTGAGACAGGGTAGCAAGGAAGCACACCCCAGCCGTGCCTCCCTGCTTCTTGGCCACTCCGTCCCTGGCAGGGACCCTGACTCAGATTCCGTTGGAAGGGGCTGTGGGGCTGGGGGAGAGGGGTGCCAGCCAGACCTGGAGGTGGAATCTCTGATGGGGTGAAATGCTCAAGTCAGTATGCACAAGTCAGCCTGTGCTTACCTGGCTGGCTGGGTGACCTGACACCATCCCCAGCCCGTGGGCAGACTCCTGGCCCTGCCTCAGCCCACAGACTCAGGTTTGTCCCCCCAGGGATGTCCACACAGGTGGGGCCCTCCCTCCAACCAACGCACACCTGCCCTGAGTAGATGCCTACAGGCTGGTTCTTGGCAGCATGAGGAGCCCGAGCTGGGGGTGGGTCACATCCTGCCTGCCATACTCATGACTGCCCAGTGAGCAGGGCTGGTGGCCCAGTGGAGGGATCTCGCACCTGTTCAGGATCGTCTTGACAAATTAGATAAAAACCAGACACTGTTCAATGGAAACATCCCCCTGACGCAGTCACACTGAGCCCAACTCCTGAACCGGGCCCCCTTGCAGTGGGGTCCCTGTGGAGTAGGCGCCTGTAACCGGGGTGCCTCGTCTGTCCAGCTGTGATCTACGTGCCCCGCTTGACTCCCAGTAAGGCTGGCTGTGGTTTGAGGGGCATGGGAACCAAGCAGACCCAGCTCGACAGCAAGTCTGACGACAGAGGCAGTCTGAGGTTCCAGGAGATTCAATGGGAAAGGCAGAATGTGTATTTTATGGAACCCCACCACCACCAGCACCCAGCCCCCCAAAAGCAACAGAAAATGTGCTTGTTCTCGCCTAGAGAATAACCTTCATTTTCAGCCTTTTCTCACTCCTCACCCATCATCTGGGCTTGATGCCTTTTCGTGGGATCATCCTTCCTAACCTCCTGGCTGCCCCTCCCTCTCTTCCGGGGAAGTGTGGAGGGACATGCTCTCCCTGCCAGGCGATGCTGCTGTGAGTGGCAGCAGGGCTCCTGGGCTCCGCTCAGCCCTTCAGAATGAGATGACAGATTCCTTCTCAGACACTCCCTAATGGAAACAAATTTCAAGAAGGAAGATTCCTTAGATGATGCTTAAATTAAAATGACTTACGATAATGCCACCACATTAATTACACCTCCGGCCTCTGCCACGGTAGCTTTAATTAAAGAACAACATGGGGAAATATGTACTCGGGACAGAAATGTTGAGCCACACCTGTTAACTGACATCTCAGCGAAATGACTTTCTCTTTCAGTCCACCCCTCGTTGGAGGTGGACAGGGCAGGTGGACAGAGGGCATCCTAGCTTTACATCCACTGAACACGGCGGGGGACACCCAATTGGGAGTCCAACCAGGCAAAAGACCCACTTCCAGGAACAAGTTCAAAACTGGGTCTGGGCATCTTTGTGATTCAGGGAATGCAGTATGTCCCAGGGGAGGAGCATCAGGCATGGACATACAAGGGGATACTCCAATAAAAACCGGAATCTTTTTTCATCAAAGCTGTATATTTAAATTTTTTCACAAAGCAATGGTATCGCCTTCAAAGTACTCTCCATTATCCTTAATGCATTTGTTAAATCTGCTATTTCATTCTTGGAAACATTTTCCAAACCCATCTGTTTGAATGGATGACAGCTCCTCCTCATTTTTTTCTTTCTACATCATCTTCTACATCGTCAAATCGCTGTCCTTTCATGTCCCTCTGCACTCGAGGAAACAGAAAGAAATCACAAGGAGTGAGGTCAGGTGAGTCAGGTGCATGGGGTAAGAGAGCTTTTGCCAAAAACTGGAGCATGAGATGGTTGCGTGAGCAGGTGCCTTTTCATGGTGGCAAAGCCTGTCCCCCATCTGCCACAAATTGGGCCTTTTTTGTTGCACACTGTTATGCAATCTTTTCCAAACCTCTAAATGAAAGCTTGATCAATAAGTCTAACCTGGTGGAACGAACTCCAAATGCACTCTCCCCTCGCATCAAAACACAGGTGAGCATCATCTTGTTCAGTGATTCGCTTGATGAGCTGTTTTGGGTGTCTTCCACTGACTTGACTGATGTTTGCTTTCGGGTCATAAGACTAGCACCATGTCTCATCACCAGTAATGACCTTGGAAAAGTCTGGGTCACTTTGGAGCTGTTCTTTCAAAGCACAGCATGTTTCCCCTGAACACTCTTTTTCCTGGTCAGTCAGAACTCAAGGCATAAATTTCACAGCGACCCTACTTATTCCAAAATCTTCCGTTAAAATTCACTGAACCGTGATAGTCCAGATAATTTCCCCATCTCTTTAATATTCTGTCATCGGTCTTCAAAACAAGTGCACAAATTTTGTCGACATTTTCATCTGTTAGGGAAGTTGACAAACGTCCAGAACGAGGTTTGTCATCCATCGACAGTTGACCGTTTTGGAAACGAGAAAACCACTCGTACACTTGAGTTTTCCCATAGCGCTGTCCTTGTAAGCTGTGTTCAACGTCACAACAGTTTCTGCGGTATTTTTCCTGAGCAGGAAACAAAATTCACAGCTGCACCCACTGTTCTCTTAAATCGGCCAGTACAAAAATCAAGGCTCGAGCAAAACTGCTTTTATGAAAAAATTCACTGTGACCAGAGAGAACCTTCCCAGGTGAAGCCACTGGGTGCTCTGACTCAGAGCGGGTTTCTAGAGATGCTCACCTGGCAGGAAACAGGTGTACTACAAAAGCTCTGCGCAGAGTTTTTTCTGGGTTTGTTTGTTTTGCAGGGGGGGGCGGGGCTGAGGGGGAGAGTACCTTGCATGTGCCTCCTCTGTAGTTGATGTGACTGAGAACGCAATTTCCCTTCCAAAAACGAAAGTCCCAGGATGGGACAGGGCTGGGGGTGTGGGCGGGAAAGGTTGGGGTTATGAGACCCGGGCTGCCACCTGCTCGTGTGACCCAAAGCCACTTCCTTAAATTCCTGGGCCTGAGTTTTCTATGAAAGAGAAACTGCTAATGCTCTAATCTTGGAAAGGACACCTGGACCAGGACCCAGAGCTGGGCAGAGGGGCTGAGCAGGGACAGCCAAATCAGGCGAGGATGAGGAGGGCTGCTGGGAATTTATCAAAAGGAGAGGAACCCTCGCAGCCACCAAACAAGAGGTGTTGCCAGCCCCGTGACGTAAGCTGGTCTCATCACCCCTGCCCTCTCCCAGACACTGAAACGGCAGGAGCTTTGAGCTTCCGAGGCGTGAAGCTGTGTCAACTCCCAGCCAGCTTCCAGACGGACACTGTGCACCGAGCGGGCACAAGGCCCTGAAGAACCGTGACGTGAATACCGTCTCCCTTTGCATATGTATGTGCTGCACATACATATGCATACATAGACACGAAGGGGCTTCAAAGAATTCCTGGAAGAATTCCATTTTCTTCCTCTTGTTTTTCCATGAACTTTCTGAAGTCCCCTCACACACATACACACACACACACACCTCTAAACCGACTTGATGGCAACAATGTGGGTTTTTCAGACGCGTCTTGGGAGCCGGGGCTGCTCCCTGCAAGGCCCACTGTCCCACAGGGAAAGCCAAGGCCGTCTGTTCCAGCAGACGCCACCTGGAAGCCCCACAGAGGAGCCAGCCCTGTGAACTGGCACCAGCTGGGCAGTGGGCAGGAGCCCAGGTGGAGCCTTGGTTAAGCAGCCGACTCCCCTTACGTGGCAGCCTGGCAAGTGTGCGGGGGGGCAGTTCTACTCCGCCCGCAGGGGAACGTGAGTGGAGATGGACTTGGTGGCGGCGGGGCACTGGGGACACCCCAAGATGCTCCCCACAACGAGCAGTCAATGAAACACCAGGACTCAGCCAGGACATTGAGTGATTTCACACCCACAGCGGGTGTGCAAGTGACTTCAGACACCCTTAGGAAGGAGGTGCACACAGAGAGCGTGCACAAGTTCACCCTCAGACCATTTGTTGAGACAGCGATGAAAGTCTGAAAGCACAGAGAAGGGGGGGGCTCATCCGTCAGACCCCCTACCCCTTTTCCAACACCCACGGTGAGCAGACATTTCATGCTGGTCAGAAGCCGGAGGGTAAGGACGCCTGAGTAAACCCGCTCACTGCTCGCCCGGTGGCTCTGGGCTCATGAACCAATGGGTCTGGAGGTCTCAGGGGCTTTTTGTTTGGGGGCAGGGGGCGCATGGCAAAAGCAGGAGTGCAGTGGTCCTGGAGGCCAGGGACTTGGCTTCTCTCGCTGGAACCCCCAACCCCCACCATGAGCACTGGTGTGCAGGCCCAGGGCCTAAGGCATTGTCAGCAAGGGAACTCTGTCCCCCCGATATGTGTGTGGGCCTGGCTGGGCCCTGGTGCTCAATGGTTGGGTGTCTATGCAGTGTTGTAATAGGGCCGTGTCTAGAGTTATGAAGTGATCTGACAGGATCAGTCCATGGGTTTTAAGGGTTGGGGTCGGATGCCGCACCCCTAACTCAGGTCCCAGCCCTGATCCTATGTCACAGGAGTTCCGATGGGGTGTTGCACCGCAGGGTAGGAGGCTGAGCTGCACACTGGTGCGGGCGCGGGACAGGGAAAGTAGGGAGCACTGCCGGGAGGAAAGCACAGCCAGAGTGCCCCTCAGAAGCAAGGATGGTGAGACTCGCCCTTGGAGAGACAAGCAAGCTTGGGGAAGCAGAAGAGGTCAGCAGGAGGGACACAGGCCTGCAACAAGAAGGACTGCAGACAGCTGTGGTAATGGGCTCAAACCAGCAGTTACGAGCATGTGCTGAGCTTCATCCTGGGTCGCTATGAGGTGGAATTGACTGGGCAACACCTGCCAGCAGCAACTACCTCCAAGGGGGAAGAGGCGGACCAGAAGGCCTCCTGTGGGCCTGGGGACCCTGTGCTGAGAGCCTCCTAGACCCAGGGGGAGACGGAGGCCAACACACAGGGGCACCAGACCCGCAGATGCCGAAAGGAAACAAAGGTCTCCCTCCAGAGATGGCAAGGAAAGACAACCTTTGTCCCAGAGCCAGCACCACCTCTTACACGGTGAGGGGGAACATTTCTGTTTGTGAAAGCCATCCACTTGTGATAGTCCTGTTAGGGTGGTGCTGCGGTGATTCGAACTCACTGCGTCATGTCATCAATTCTGACTCACAGTGACCCTACAGGACAGGGTAAACTGCCCCTGTGGGTTCCCGAGACTGGAACTCTTTGCAGGAATAGAAAGCCTCGTTTCTTCTCCTGTGGAGCCGCTGGTGGTTTTGAAATGCTAACCTTGCAGTTAGCAAGCCCAACTCGTAATTACTACGCTATCTGGCTCCCGCCAGTAAGTGCTGTCAAGTTGGATCCAACTGACAGAGAGCTTACGTACAAATGAATGAACCCTACCTGGCCGGCGCCATCCTCACAGCCCTGCTGTGTGTGCGTCCGTGTTTGCAGCCACCGCGTCAACCCACCTCCCGGAGCACTTTCACTGTTCCCTGTGTGCTGACACGTCTCAGTGGGCGTCCCGCCAACCCCTGGAGTCTTGTCTTTCGCTGGGGAGCTTGGATATGAAGTAGTTAAATACTTGGCTGCTACTCAAAGGTCAGTGGTTTGAAGTGACCAGCTCCTCGACTGGAGGTGTGGCCCCTGCTTCCATGAAGATGGTGGTCTCAGAAGACCCTCGGGACAGTTCTACTCTGTCCTACAGGGTGGCCAGCAGTCAGAATCAACTCGTTGTCAATGGGCTTGCTTTGGTTTTTGACAGTGTGCAGATTGGATTTCTCCCCTCCGTCTCATGGTTCTTGATCAGAGCTACCTCCTGAAACGGCTAGCCGCCCACCCATGCTCTGTGCACAGCGACTCTCCGCCCCTGCCCTCTTCTTTGGCCGCGTCCTGCACCAGTCCTTATTTTGCCCGTGGCATCTTGCAACAGTGCCGCCAGAGGCTTCAACCTCTGTCTCCTGTCCTTGCCGCTCAGGACACGCTGCGCAGTCCTCCAGCAGCTCCGCGGTGGCTGTGCTGAAGGCAGCCGTCAGGACACGCGAGAGACCGTGCCCAGGTGGGCACAGCCTGGGGCCAGCAGCCTCCTCCCCGCTGCACCACCGCCCAGCACCCACACTGTTGCCCTGGATGGATGGCTTTAAAGTGACCCTGGGCTTTTCTGCTGCTCCTCTATTTCTGGACACCAGGCCTGTCGTGCACGGAGCATGCTGACGGCAACGGTCAGTCCGTTTGCTGTACATTCAGATGCAGCTGGTGGCAGCTGAGGCCGGCCAGGCTCCCCGCTGCAGCTGGGTCTAAGTTCTCACATGTCTGCACTAAAACATGCACTGGCCTCAAACGGTGACAGGTCCAGGGGCCAGGCAGCAGCCAGGCCACTGGTGGCAGCAATCACGTTTCTTACTTGTGCCAAAGAGCAGCTGTAAACACAACCACACCCAGGCTGAGCCCTCTCAAGCGACCCGGTGTGATAACGGATGGGAGGAGTGAGACATTTCCCCGGCGATGAGACTAGGGGTTTTCGACTGCTCGTCAATTAAACGTGCTACATGTGTCCTTTCTCTTTCCAGGGTGCGTAAGTCATGAGCTCACAGGAAATAACGAAGATGAGCCAGGGCAGCTCACCCCTCCCTGTTTCCCATCACACGAGTCATCACCGCAAAGAAGAGGAAACGGCGGCTCCACCAAGGCGTGCGTCCCTCCCTGTGGTCTCACACGGCCCCGTCAGTGGTGAAGTAAAGCCACTGGCCTCTAGCTGATTCCCACTCAGAGCTCCGCGACCTGAAAGCTGGAGGGGAGCAGGCAGCCTCACCGTTCTCCTGCAGGGCGGCTGGTGGGTTTGAACTGCCAACCTTGCGGCTTGCAGCCCAAAGGCTCCTTCTACATACAGCATTAAGCCAGGAAGGTGAGCCGTGAATGCTGACCGACGCAGACTGGAGAGGCGGACAGAGAATGTTGCTGGGGCAGGGTGAGGGGGCGTCACCTGTGCACTGGTCTACTTGAACTTCTGTTTTTGACTTCTGTGTATTTTCCAGGTAGTGTATTTTTAACAGTGAGAGATCATGAGGGGCAAGGGACGGCGTGGCCGGGTCAGACCTGTGCAGTCAGGGGCTGGGGGCTCTCACCTTGCTGGACCAGCGCATCAGGCGCGAGCTCGCCACTGCCCGCGTTGCTGTACTCCTCGGTGGGGTGCTTCCTGTTGTAGTGCCGCTTCAGGGAGCCGGAGATGTTGCAGGAGTAGTGGCAGTGGGCACAGCGGAAAGGCTGTGGGGACAGGAAGGGGAGGGGTTAGCACAGGGCACCCCAGTGAGACCACCCCTCAAAAGAAGATGCTAGCACCCCCACAGGGCACTCTCCCAGCGGCTGCACCAGGGCATCTGGTGAGCAGCCAAATAACGCCAGCACTGGGGTGCCCTTTAGGGGGACACGGTGACCTCGGGGATGCTGAGTCCTGCCTTTGCAGCCACCAACCAGGTGACGGGGCCACGGTGTTCCCTGGCAGGAGACGCCCTGCAGGGGCACTGCCTTCCCCCCCCCACACTCTTTCCATGTGCCCAGACACTGCAGATCTCATTCAAGGAGGAGGCTCCTGGGCAGAGAAGTTGGCTCCTGGCCTCTAACCCAAAGGTTGCTGGTTTGAACCCACCCTGTGGCCCCGCAGCAGAGAGGCATGGCAAGCTCCTGCTGACGGAGGCCCTCCCTGTGGGGCGCAGCTCCACCTGAGACCTGTGAGGCCGAGTGGGCAGCCAGAGCATCTGGGGTTCGAGGAGAGGAGGTGCCATGTCTGCTCTGGTTTCCTCTCTGGCCTCCATCTCCCCTATGACCTAGTACAGGGGCTCTTCCCACTAGGGGGCTTCCTCCAGTCCCCAGGGGTCATCTCACATAGCTGATGACCCCCACCTGGGGGTGGGACTCTCCCAGCTGGAGAACAAGCACAGCCCCTTCTGCAAGGAGGACCTGGAGCCAGGCAGGTGTGTGAGAGGCGGAGGTGTCTGGAGCCCGGCAGCTGATGGCAGGGCTGACATGTGTGAGGAAGGCAGGGGACTGGCAGGCGACCAGCTGCAGAGGGAGGTCCCTGGATATGCAGACAGCGGGTCTCAGAGCCAGGGCCATCAGGGAAGGTAAATCCAGGCGGAAGGTGGGGAGGGAGGGGCGGAGACAGGAGAAGGGAGTCAGAATTCAGAGGGATGTTCTGGACTGCAGAGGTGGACCTCAGCACAGACAAGAAGCAGGTGCCCTGGCACTGCACACAGCCACTGTGGGACTGGTGCCATGGAGAGTCTGTCCCAGACGCAGAGGAGGGATTGTGACAGGCTGGTGGCAGGCCATTCTGAGGCTGCAGGACAGACGCGTAAGGATGAGCATATGGTGCTAACTGCACAGAGAGCCCTGAGGAACGGTGTATGCCCAGCGCCAGAGACTGGGGCTCCCTCCACCTAACCAGGCCGCACAGACACGAGTCGTGACATCTAAGCCCCTCTCAGAGACACGAGGGGAACACTCTCTCCTGCTTACCAGGCAGGGTTTATGGGGGCTGGGGGTTACCCAAAGCCAGAGTGTGCCACTGGCTTTGTCAAGTCCGAAGCAGCTCGGGCCCCCCCTCGGACACCCTGACGAATGAGTTAGTGCAGAGGCCAAAGGAAGCTCTCTGGGCTGTCCCCTGGCCATGTCCTCCATGAAGAGAGCAGCCCCCCAGCCTGGTGGCCTGTGTCTGACCCCCGCCCTGGAGCCCAGCGTGGAGGAAGACGCAGGGCCCCCTCTGGGCAGCAGGGACACTGCTCCTCCCCGCCACGGGCTCCAGGGTGTACCTTCATTTACTCCGCGCTGCACGTGGGGGCAGGAGCTGGACAGCAGCACACACCCACTCCACCACCCCTCACACGGCCGGTGAGCCCCTCGTCAAGTGGAACAGACCCCGTTTCCCTCCTTCCCTGCCGGCACGAGCTCGCTGTGCCCAAAGTTCCCATCCCGCCTCCCAGCTCCCAGACCCTGGGGGGATGCTGAAGGGGCACACTGCTCAGAACGGGGTCAGACCACCACAGTGTAGTTCTAGGGGCTCTGGTACCGCCGTGGGCTAAGCATTAGGCTGCTAACTGCGAGGTCTCTGGGCAGTCTGAATCCACAAGCTGCTCTTCAGGAGAAAGATGGGGTAGTGGGCTTCCTGAAAAACCGCCAGCCTCAGGGGCAGTTTCACCGAGTCCCCTGCAAAGCTCCTGAAATGTGGGGGTTCTCGAAAACTTCAGCTACAGTAAGAGGCTTCTAAACACGGCACAGAGACAAAAACATATTTCAAAATCAAAGGCGCCATGCATTCGGGGCCTCCTGGCAGCCCTTGCTCAGGCTGCAAATTCCTCAGGCAAAAAGGGACCTTGAGTGGAAAATTTCCCAGCAGCCCTGCGGAGGTGGGGGGCACTCACCAGCATTAACAAGTTTTGCGCCCCTAATACAAGCCTCGCCACCACAGCCTGATATAGAGCAAGAGGTCATGGTCATACAGCAAACCAACCGGTCAATCCAGGGCTTGAGACCCTCTCTGACTGGCCCTGCAGCCTCTCGGGTCCTGGTGTCACTGGCCGCCAAGCCCCACTGCTGATGGGCATGCCTCTGTAGCCGTCTCCCAGACTAGGAAGACAGCCCTGGTGGTCAGTCGAGGAAAACCCAGTGGGTCTCCATGATTCCACCACACTTGATGGTGTGGATGGTGCAGGACTGAGCAGGGCCCCATTCCTTTTGGCCTGGGCTCTCTAGCCGCTTAATTAAACGTCACCATAAGTCAAGGACAATGCACCCGTCATTGAGTATGAGGCCTGCAAAATCATTGATCGCAGCTACCATCACCACACCAAACTCACTGCCCTTGAACCGAAGCCGGCTCACAGCGACCCCACAGGGCAGAGCAGAGCTGCCCCTGCGGGTTTCTGAGGCTACAGCTTGGCGGAAGTAGAAAGCCTGTCTTCCTCCTGCAGGGTATCTGGTGGTTTGGAACTACTGACCTTGTGGTGACCCAAAGTGTCACCACTAGGCCTCAGGGCTCCTGGTCATCACCATGGGATGAGCTAATGAAATGTGTGACCACATGTGGCAGGCTAACTGCTCAGTGGCACTTCTGTATGGTCCTTGGGGTACGTCACACCCCCAAAAGCCCTTGATAGACAACAGTTCCCAGCCGGCTGTAAGGAGAACCCGGACCAATCGTTTACCCCTGAGAGCCCCACCCAGGCGGACAGCCCTGCAGGCCAACCTACAGGGAGCCTAAGGATGGACAGATAGGTATGGAAGACAGACAGGCGGGAGAGAGAAGGCCATGCAGAAGCAGAGAGGGAAACACAGCTGTAAGGGGCAGACCCACATCCCAGGAGTCCCGGGAGCCTGGTGATGCAGCAGCTAAGTGCCGGGCTGTGAACCCACCAGCCGCTCACTCAGCTTCTGAAACTGGCAGCCCTGGGGCTGTGGCACCCTGCCCTGGAGGGTGGCCATGAGTCAGGAGGGACTCCATGGCTGTGGGTCAAGGGGGTTTCAACAAAGAACCCCAAGGGACACAGGGGCCATCACAAGGTGCGAGTGTCCTTCCCGTCTCCTGGTCCCACCGGCCATGCCCAACTCAGCCTGGTCATCCACTTTGGGCCCCACCCTTGAATGCTCACCAAAAGGCTGGTGGCCGGAGTCTCCCTAGAGGTGCGGCGGAAGAAAGGCGTGGCAACCTACTTCCCAGTGGAGCCCCCTTCTACTCTGACACGCTCAGGGGGTCTCCTTGAGCTGAGCAACTAGATGCAGCTGGCCTCCGATGCTTGCCCACTGTGGCCCATGATGCCCACTCGGCCAAGACCACCACGCCCACTTTGCACCTGGAAAGATCACCCGCCCACACGGGTCCCAAGATGTTTCTGTTTTCCCCCTTCCCCTCAGGATTTGTTAACAGTTCCCGGGCTGGGTCAGGGTCAGGGTCGGCCAGCCCCACGGGCAGCACTGCGCAGTGGGGGCATCGTCTCCATCTCTCTGCGCCAGCACAACGCCACATCTTTGTAACGTTGGGAGAGTAAGTGCGGTGGGACCCTGGGGCACCAGAGTTCAACACAGGCCTGCATGGAGGTAATTATCTCATCACAATCAATAACCGTAAATCAATCCGAGCTAATTGCTCTTGGTGTGGCGCTTAGGAGACTCTTGAGCAGGCTCTCGTTATTGATTTCTGGGTAATCGCTCCTGCTGTCAAACACGCAATATTTCCCGAGAATGCACTGCACGCTGTCAGACAGCAGGGCTTTCATGTCGCATAAAGCGATCCAATCTCCCGCGCCACTGTCCAGATGTGCCTGCAATGTCTCCGCCCGATGAGACAGGTGCAGGGAGAGGCTTTCAGCCAGCATGACTTCAGCTCAGAGACCAGGCAGCAAGCAGCCCCTCCCCTCCATGACTTGGGTGAGGCACACCCTCGTCCTCAAAGCAGCACCCTTTTCAATGCTTTAAAGGGGCCACTTTGCCTTTTGTTTTCTGTGCACATACCACTGTCCCCAGGAGCCCTGGTGGCATGGTGGTTACACGCTGGGCTGCTTACCGCAAGGTCAGCAGTTCAAAACCACCAGTCCCTCCTCAGGAGAAAGACGGGGCTTTCTATCCCTGTAAAGAGTTAATCTTAGGAACTCGCATAGACAATTCCACCCTGTCCTACAGGGTTGCTATGAGCCAACATCGACTCCATGAGATGAAATCACGGTCCCCAAACTAGCGAGCCCTGCCCCTACCCAGCAGAGCCTGGCACACACCAGGTACACAGACAGGCATGCTGCAGGAGAAGCCACCGCCGGCGCTATCCGTAAGAACAGCAGGCAAACTCCCCGTTTTGCCTGCATTTTGGTCATCTCTTAAATCTCCACACACCGCAGGACGGCGTGTGCACCACCCAGAAGAAAGGACTGCCTGGGGGTATCCCTGCAGCGACCGTGGTGAGAGCAGTGGCCGGCCTCCTCCGTTCTCCCCAGCACCTCTGCGGAGACACTCAGCCCTGCAGACTTGCAACCGACCACAGGGGCTGCCGGATTCCTTCAGGGTTCGAGAGACCAACTTGCAAGGATGCCAAGCATGGTGGACAGAAATGAAGTGGGAGTTAGTGCCGTCAGCCGGTTCTGGCTCACCGTGACCCTGGAGAGCAGTGGGGACCTGGCCCCATGGGGTTTCTGAGGCTATCACAGAAGCAGATGGCCACTCTGCTGTCCCCTGGAGCAGTGGGGTGAGTAGCAGGATAGCCCAGTGTCACCAGGGCCCCTTCAAATAGTGTCCTTTCACGAAGCCATTTTCACTTCTGAAAGGACAGTCTCAGCGCCGCACCCCAGGCTGGAGGCTGAGCGAGGTGGCCAGTGCCCACCCCCAGACAGGAGTCCGGTCTGGGCACGGGCAGAGCACGGCCGGCTTCAGAGGGGACGAGACCGTCATGCTGAGCGGTTTCCATGGGGCACACATCGTGAAAAGTGCCAACTGACTTCAGACTACAAATTATTTTGTTTTGTTTTGTTTTGTTTTGTGTGCAGACTTGCACTTTGAAAGCCCCAACTCTTGACTCGCTTCCCAGAAGTCGGGAAGCTCTGGGCGTACTTGCAGCCTCTGCCTTGGTGACTGAGTGCAGCCGTGACAGAATCACCCACCAGTCTCTTTCCCCGGCAGGTGAACTGTGTCAGGTGTCGACCCCTGGAGTGGAGGGCCTTCCTCTTTGTCCCCCTTTGAGGCAGAAAGTCGGATTCGGGGCGCTGGCTCTGGGGGAAGGTTCTGGGCTCCCATCCCCTATCTCTGCTCCCGTCATATGTCAGAGGCGACGGGCTCGGCACAGGTCATAGCTAACGCTGCCTCACTGACAGTAGAGAACACTGGCCTGTGGGTTCCTGCAGACCCACCACAGACATTTTTGGGGTGCAACCTAGTCTGCCACAGAAGCTCCAGCTGGCACTAGGGCCAGGGGCACAGAAGCAAGGGGGGTGCTGGGGCAGGCAGCCTTGGGAAGGCTCAAGTCCAGCTGGGCAGGCGGTGCCGGGCAGTCTGTTAGGAACTCATTGGGAAGATGTGTCTGGGAAGGCACTCAGGGCAGATAGACCAGCCGACCGGGGTCAGTGTTCGGACACATTAATAGGAATGTCCCAAGTCAGCAGCAGCTTCGGGTGAGAGGACGCCGTGAGCAACCAGGCCGTGCCGGGCCCTGGAACTGCACACACCAGGCTGGCAGCGAGGAAGGGGCTGCAGGGCTGGGGTGGCGGGGTGCTGCAGAGAGGAGAGGGAAGCGGGGTCGGGGTCAGCCCAGTGTTCCAGAGCTCTGCCTGCTTTCCACGCTACCTTGATCGCCCCAAGCTGCCACGGGCAGTGTTCTCTGCTGTCAGGCCACCACAAAGCCCCATGAGGGGCCTCGCCCAAAGTCTCCCGAGGCAAGACCGTATTTTACAACGCCGGCCCCTCATTTCACAGTGCTTCCCCGGGTCATGCTCTGCAAGTGTGGTGCTTCTCACTCCTGGAGGTCTGTGGCCACGGTGACGCATCCAGTTGCTAACCATAGCATCAGCAGTTCAAGACCGCCGGCTGCTCCTGGGGAGAAAGACGGGCATGCTACTTCCATATGGCGCTAGTCTGGGGAGCCACGGGGCAGCTCTCCCCCGCCCTACGGGGTGACTGGGCGTCCGCTTCGACTCAGTGGTGTGGTTTGTGTCACATTTGGTCGTTCTCCCAATTGTTCTAACTTTTCAGACGTCTATGACGTAGACTGCCAAATCCGACGCCATTGCGTCAAGTCTGGCTCACAGCAACCCATCACGGGCCTGCCAAGGCTGTGCACACATCTTGACAGGAGCAGACAGCCTCAACGTTCTCTCAAAGATAGGCTGGTGGATTTGAACCTCTGACTTGGTGGTTAGCAGTCGAACTCGTAGCCACTCCACCACCGGTGCTCAAACAGGATCACAGTGGAGTTCCTGATCTGCAGAGCTTGGCGTCGGTGATGAGAGCCCGGCTGCATCTGCCTTTACACGGGCTGGGGTCTCCAAAGCCATTCACTGAGTGTCATTGCTGTCTCCGTAGACTATCAGGTACAACAGCCAGCCCACAAGTCTCTCCCCAAGCGCCGGGCTCCAATCCTCACCTGCCCTAACAGGTGTGGGCTCCTGGTTTCATGTGTGTGTGTGCCCGCGCGCACCCAGGGCTGTAAAGCCAGCAGACATGAAACAGAAAACAAGCCCTCATGGCCATTGAGTCGACCTGACTCACAGCGGCCACCCTCACGATGGCTGCACCACGTGGCCGTCCACCTTGCCGGGCGTGCTCCTCTGTCACTGCCCTCCACTCTACAGAGGGGACGTGCTTCTCCGGGCGCTGGTCCCCCTGCTGACGTGTCTGCAGTCCTGACTCCAGGGACCACTCCGGCGGCACTTCTTCCACACAGACCTGCTGCTTCTTCCGCTCGTCCACGGCCCTCTGCCAGCTTCGTGTGCACAAGTGGCCATAGTTCCCGTCAGGGCACCTTCGTCCCCCTGGAGCCGTCTCTGCTCCTGAACCGTTTCGAGATGTCCCCGATTTGCCCCGTGAGATGTCATCTGCTTTCCCAACTGCTGGCACTGTGGGTGTGGATCAAGTGAACAAGACCCTGCGCCGGTCATTCCTCCGCACATCACGATGCCCTCTAGATTCGGCCACCTCACCGCCGGGGGGGGGGGGTTTTGCCTTCCCCCCCCGGCCCGGGCCGGGTTGTTTCTGCCCCGCTGCCTGCGGAGGGTGCCGGCCAACGCCGGAAGGTCTGCTCCACTGATGGGGAAAAGTGGGCTCTGGGGCGGTTTTACTTGATGTCTGTCTACTGTCTCGAGGGCGGCAGGCTTATCCTGCTGTGGCCTGCTCTGTTCACAGCCTTTCCCCGTGTTTCAGCCGGGATGTGGGCAGCAGTTTATGGTGAACGTCACTGTCCGTAAAGTAAGACAAACGTGATACCCATCAACAGGAGAGCCGTTCCACTCCTCCGTTATTTCTCCTTTCTTTTTTTGGTGGGGGAGGGAATATATATATATGTCCCTGTCTCAGTTTTCAGTATCTAACAAAGTCCACAAAGAGAAAATGTGTGTGTGGCACGAATCAAGCCACCTGCAGCTGCCTGTATCGGGGCTTAAATTCTGAGCGCCCCGGTGGGTAAAGGCTGTGGGTGGCAGTGACAGCCCCGACCCTGCACAGGGTCCCCAAGCCGATTAAACCTCCACTGGACCCTTCCTGATCATCAACCAAGGATGCAGGTCACTGTGGCCTCACACAGAGCATGTCGGAAAGTAGATTTCCTGCCCCCTCTCGGCCAGCCCAGGGAGGGCAGTCTCTCTCCTTAGGGCTTCCCTGGGAATGCCCTTGATGGGGGTCACCGTACTGGGGCAGTACTGGGGGTTGCACGAGGCACAAGTCATTCCCTGTAAGCCTCGCCCTGATGGCCTTCGTCGGAGGCCCTGGACCCACCTCGTAAGGTCGTCTATGAAACACAGAGGACTCGCCCCAGTCAGGGTCCTGTTCCCACTTGCGTAGTCCCACCTGTAACCCTGATGTATTGACCTGCCACCAATCGTGAATCTGAGACAGTGGCCTGTGTTCCTTATTTAACTAGCTGCCCGATGTCAGTCCTGGGATGGCCTTTTGACCTCATGCTAACGGCCTCCCTCATCTCAATGATGTGCCTGTCTTTGACCCTGTAAGACTTAATAAACATTCTCTTTATATTATATTTGAGATTGGGGTCTCTTTTGCACCCTAAAACACACCCAAATCAGCAACAAGAGTAGTCCTGTAGAAGCATCTTTGTGCGGGGTTTTGATGCCCGCCTGACTGGCCTTTCCTCTGTCTGTCTGTCTCACCAGCATCTCCCACCTCAACCTCAGTGCTTCTCATGACAAGCAGGAGAACACATGCAAGTGGACTTTCCAGAAGCGGGCGCTGTGCCCAGTTTTGTGGACTGTAGAAATCTCAGGGTGCCCTCAGTACTGTCGATCGTCACCGCCCTGGTGGCTCCCGGGAAGGCTGGCATTTCAAATCCACTCAAGGGGCCTTGGAAGAAAGGTCTGGCGAGTTCCTTCAAGAAACCCAGCCCTGACTCCCTGACACCCACAGGGTCATCAGCAGTCTTTATCAGAGCAATGGCCTCTGGCGGTCATGCAGCTGGGCTCAGTCCATCTCGGCCTCTCCACTGGGCTCGTCCTGACCCGCTGCTTGGCTGACAGAACAGCCCAGCCGAATATGAACCTGTGTCTCTCAAAGCAGGCGTGGGGTGGTGTATAGGCAGCTAGCTAGCAGTGTCCCCACTGTCCAAGAGTGTCCCCTCCACTGGGAAGGAAACCTTAACTTAAAAATACAGCCCATGCTGATCCATACACAAGGAGACAGTCATGAATGCTTGTCTCCGTCTGCCACGGAGAGCAGTGCTACATCGAGTGGAGAGACGGACCTGCAGTGATCCCCGGCTCCTACACTGTCTTGACATCACAGTACCAGGG